CGGGAGAGGACGTTGACTCCGTGGAAAGGTCGGCTTCTTTCCACACTCCTTAATTTGGTCCCCAAGTTGCCCGGTACCGGTATAATCTCCACAGCTGTCTGCTTCTTTTGGAGTCCCTCCCGAATTTTCTCCAAGGCTCTAGCCCCTCGAACATCATAAGTTTTCATTAAAGCATCTTTATAAGATAACTTTAACGAATTCTTATAATTTCTTGGGTCTTCAAGGAGTTTCCCTGTCTCGGCAGAGTCTTTTTTCGCGGAGTCGTATTTTTCCTCGGCGATTTTCCCTGGCGAAGACTGGTCGTGGGGTGGAGATTTTCCCCCATCATTTCCTCCTTCTCGCGTCGAATCAGCTTCGTCGAAGTTGATTTTTCCGGAATCCCGCGGCCGCTTTCGGATCTTTTTATTTTCGCCAGCTAGATCCGCAATCACTGGCGACTCCCGTTTTTTGTCTTCTGATTGGCCGAAAGATTTCCGCCACTGTTGCGTGCCCGATACTCTGCGCGTGTGGCCTTCATTTTGTTGCAGTCGAAGATTCGGTGGCCCGGCACCCCGCAAAAATCACACGTGTAGTTGGTGTTTTTCGGACGTGGCCGCCCCTCGAATCTGTCGACTTCCATCGGGTCGGCGAACGTGGGGTGAGCCGAGCGGTCGCCCTGTCGCGTACTGCCGACGTGCGTCCGTCGTGTTCCGGCGTTGACCATGTCGAAGCGCTCCGCTGCCGAAACGACGTCACTGTAGCTCGCGTAGTTTGACGCTGCGACTTGTCGTTTGACTTCGGTCTTCAGCCCGGCGAGGTACGATTGTACTTTTTCCCCTTCGGTCAGGTCGGGAATGCGGTTATAAAATTCTTCCATCTGCTGCGTGTACTGTGCTACACTCCCGAACTGTCGATGGCGATGAATTTTTTCGCGGGCAAGGAAACCTGAATTTATCGGCTCGAAGCGTTTCAGCAGGTCGGCGCGGAACTGCTGCCACGTGGCTTCACCGTGGATGAAAGTACTGTTGCCGCCAATCCACTCGAGTGCCGGCCCTCGCATCAGTGTCGCCGCGAGTCGTACACGTTGACCGTCCCAGACTGGCGAGCTCCATCCGACGGCTGCGAAGTAGATCTCCATCCCGGCGATCCATCTGCGGGCGTCGGAGTTTCGATCGCTCGGATCGAACGGCTCAGGTGGGCGCGGTTTCGGAGCCTCGAGAAACTGCTGCGACTGCTGCGTCGTCGCCGTTGTCGTCTCGTGCTGCGCTCCGGCGAGTCGAGTTACTCGCTCGAACTGGTTTCGCCACGCTTCGCGATCCGCTCGCATTTCCTCCTGAAGGGTTGCGATGCGCGCGAAGAGCTGCTGGGTAACCTCGGCGTTGTCGAAGGTTGCCATCCTGTTCAAAACACGCACGGAGGGGGTAATTCGAAAATCGCGGAGCTGGTGCTTACCAGAATCGGCGTCGAATTGGTCGCCCCCGGCGGTTTTTCGAGGCAGGATCCCCGCTGCTGCTGCTTAGCTGAGCGCGGCCGAGTGAGAAAAGCTCTGATACCAAGTGTCACAGGATCGAATGTGTCGAGGAAAGGTTGCACTATCGATCAGTACAAGGCGCTTTTATACTTCCAGAGTACATCAGGTAACCAGGTTTATCTTATCCTAAGGGAATAGACCCTTCTAGAAGATAGAATCACCCTGCGTATAGCCACGTGAGGCTATTGGCTTTAAGGGATTACGGCAGGATTACGCTGGATAACGTCTCTAGTACATTCCATGCCTGGTCGGTGATATAATTATAATAAAGGAAGAGACCAAAGGATAATGGAAAATGGAAAATAGGAAACCAAATGAGATGCGGTAAAACGAGAAATGAAAAGGGAAGGAAATAAGAAAAGGCCAAGTGGTGTAACGGGGTCGTACTCTCACAGCTGGGGGTGCGGCCACAGGTTAAGCTGGTGAGCGGCGTAGCGCACGGCGAACGGCCACAGAAAATGGGGTGCACCGGCGTGGATCATGGAGGTGCGAGCCACCTCCATGACCAAACCGATGCGTCGCTCAGCGACCCCATTCTGCTGCGGGGAGTCCGGCAGGGTAAACGTCTGGGTGATGCCCTCCGCACAACAGAAGCGACCAAGGACACCTGAGGCGAACTCGCCACCCCGGTCGGAGTGGAGGCGCAAGGCAGGGAGACCGCGGTGGAGACGAGCAGAGACAAGCCAGGGGATGAGAACGTCAAGCACGTCGGCCTTCCGCTCCAAGGGAAAGACGGTGGTGTAACGTGTGAAGTCGTCGACAAGCACTAGGAAGAAGCGCTCGCGACGCGGCCCATGGACCGGGGCTGGGCCCCAGACGTCCATGTGCAGAGTCTGCAGGGGTGCGGTGGTAGGGGGAAAAGAGGAGGAGTGAGGGGCACGGCGGAGCCGGCCCTCGACAGAAGGCGTGCACGGTGGGGCGGGGGATGAGGGAAACTCAGGGAACGAACCGGGGAGACCAAGGACGAGACCGTGCTGGGACATGTGACGCAGACGCGGGAGTGCAGGGTGACCAAGGCGGTGGTGCCAAAGGAGAGTCGGATGAGTGAGGGACCGACAGGAGCACGCAGCAGCAACCTGGGTGGACGCAGCTACCTGGGGGGAAGACCCAGCCGGGGACGTCGCGGTGTCAAGTGTGAACAGGCCGGACACCGGGTCCCGGGGGAAAGTGGTAAGGGGGGCACCAGTGGCGGCCTCGGTACAGACAGCATACCGCTCGTGACCAGGGAACGTAGTGGTGACGCCAAGGTCCTGAAGGCAGCCGACACCAACTAGGTTCCTGGTGAACGAGGGGATATGCAGACCGGTGAGCGAACCTGAAGGAACCGCCGGACAGGGAAGGGAGGTGGAACTGCGGGCAACGACGGGACCACCGGAGGGGTCAGCAAGAGTAACTGCAGCGGGAACAGGCAGCGGCGTCAGCGTCGTGGAGTCGCGGAAGAAACACCGGGAGGCGCCAGAGTCCAAGGTAAAGGAAAGCGCAGCAGTCGCGCGGGGCGACAGTGAAGCGGTGGAAGCACCGAGGCTAAGCAAAGCAGGAGATCCTACGCCTGACGCAGCAGGGGAGTCTACGCTAGGCACAGCTACACTAGGCAACACGGGGTAATAAGAGGGAAGCACACTAGAGTCATCGGCATACATCACATGCAAGGCTGCTACAATGGCATCCATGTCCAAGTCAAAAATCCGAATGCTACGCCTAAGCAAGCTGTGCCAGTCCGGGAGGTCGGGCGCCGGGCCAAAGCGCTGGCGGAACAGGTCGTCCAGACGACGAAAACAGCGAGGAGTGGAATGACCGATCTTACCGCAAACGAAGCCGCGGCGAGGACCGGTCTGGATCTGGTACTGACAGGGCCCGCCTCCAGAACCACCACCCGGTGCACCACCACGCGCACGACCACCACCAGCTCCAGGCCACCCAGGCGGGAGAGCACTCGCCGGCCTCGTCTGCGGCGGCTGCTGCGGCTGCTGCGGAGGCTGCTGGTGCTGCGGCTGCTGCAACGGTGGAGGCAGCGGGGCAGCTGGACCGGGCAGGGTCCCCACGTCCGCACCGGCACCGGACGACCCGCCTCCACCACTACCCCCACCCGCACCCCCGCCACCTCCGCCGCTCCCAACCTTGGGGCGGCGGCCCTTCCCCGAGCGGGACTGCACTGCAGCAGCAGTCTCAGCCATAGCGACAGAGCCGTCGGAGAAGGTACACTGAGCGGGGGCACAACCCTGAAAGATAGGGACCGGTACTGTACCGCTCGCCTGGGCTATGGAGCGGTGACGAGTCTCTATGGCAGTCAGGGTGTCAACAAAGTCGGTGAGGGTGAGAGCAGCAGGGTGGATGCGGGGCCCAGGGAGGAGCGCGGCAGGGCCCAGGAGGGGCGCAACAGGCCCAGGAGGGGCGCTACGGGCCCAGGAGGGGCGCAATGGGGGGCCCAGGAGGGGCGCGGCGAGGCCCAGGAGGGGCGCAATGGGGGGGGGGGGCCAGGAGGGGCGCGACGAGGCCCAGGAAGGGCGCGACGGGCCTAGGGACGGTCGCGACGGGGCCCAGGAGGGTGGATACGGGGCCCAGGGAGGGGCGCAATGGGGGCCCAGGAGGGGCGCTACCGGCCCAGGAGGGGCACTACGGGCCTAGGAGGGGCGCGACGGGGCCTGGGAGGGGCACGACGGGTCCCAGTAGGGGCGCTACGGAGCCCAGGAGGGGCGTGACGGGGCCTGGGTGGAGCGCGGCGGGGCCCAGGAGGGGCGCTAGGGGGCCTGGGAGGAGCGCGACGGGGCCTGGGAGGGGCGCTAGGGGGCCTGGGAGGAGCGCGACGGGGCCTGGGAGGGGCGTTACAGGGCCCAGGAGGGGCGCTACGAAGCCCAGGAGGGGCGCGACGAGGCCCAGGAGGGGCGCTACGGGGCCCAGGAGGGGCGCGACGGGGCGCTACGGGGCCTGGGAGGAGCGCGACGGGGCCCAGGAGGGGCGCTAGGGGGCATGAGCGGAAGCGGGAGGTGGGGGGGGGTCCTACCTACGCGTGATACCATATCATAATTAGAATTGAATAATGTGAGAGAGAGAGTATACAAACATATACCTAAATGTTGTACTCTCTAGAAGGTGACCCTATACAGTCTATACAAACATGATAACTACACATGTTTGACAGCATATGTACAGAGCATCAAAGCAATCACTTCTATAATTGAAATTTGGATCCCAGATCAATATTTCGCTCCGTTTTGCTTTGGTCGAGGCATTTCAATCCAAGTTATATTTCCTGATTCTTTTATATTCTATTAAGGGATTATTTGGTAAATTATCTAGATGTTGTCGGAATCAGTTGATCCAAATCCTTAAATTAAGGAATCAAAACACTCACGGCTCTGTGAATGATTACCGTAGAAGGTTGCGGACTCATCAAGAACCCTTTTCACCCTATATCGCGCACAGACTTTGCCTTCCCACCAACCGCCTGAGATATTTGCCCCCTTGCTGATCCTCGTCGATCCAAAGGCAGGTCACCACACCAGGTCAGCAGAGATAAGTTGGTCAGGCATATTCCCCAGGAGTGCATTTTAGCGGTAGGTATTCTTTGCAATTTCTAACCTAAATCCTAGAATCCTGTTTGGTTCGCGATCCCTCATATTCCGCATGATGGCCAGATGTCGTCTAGCCCCTTCTCGCACTTTTCTCCTCCTCCTATTGGTTCTTCCCTTCGCCGCATTCCGAAGAGCTTCGGCGGTTCGATTCACGCTTGACCGCTTCGATTGCCTGTCGTACTACGTGCATTACGTCGGCGACGACGTGCATGGAAACTTCGTCGTCGTCAGTTCGCAAACGTGGGGCGACTGGGAGTCTCTCGGCGTCGACATCGTTGTAAGCACAGCAAAAATGGCCCCTTCACGCGCTCTCGTTTGAATCACAGCGCGATACTTCACAGTCACTATATAAATCACCCCTATGCCTCACCGATTTGCCTCTTCACCTATCAAGCAGTCAATTAAGGCTGTTCGCTAACGCTCAGGCAATCCGAATGCATCATTTTCTAGGCAATTCAAAAGCACAGCCAGTCTTCCCGTACTTTCTCTGTGCAGCCTCGCAAATGAAAGACCCTGATGGCTATCGCGCGCACTCGACTCAGGGCCAGACGGAGAGAGGGGGCATTCGAACTCGAGTCGATGCGCGTTAAACAGCTCCATCCACTCTCTCCCTCCTCCCCCAACCCCCTCCCTCCCCCCCAACATTCCCCTCCTGCTCCTCCCACCCCCCCTCCCCTCCCCCCTCGTCCCCACCCCAACATTCCACTCACTCGCCTAGCGTCTTGGTTCTGCAGGTTTGGACCCCGACGGCTGCCACGCGCACGCGGGCAGGGCCAGACGGAGGGCGACTATTGAGTGCGCTTCAACCCTCCTTTCCCTATCCGGTGGTCCCACAGGTGGCGGACCCTGACGGGTACCACGTGCACGGGGGGGAGGCCCAGACGAAGGGCGTATTCGCGCTCGAGTCGAGTCCTTGGAGGAGGGCGACTACAAGGTGTGCTTCACCCCCTCTTACCCACCCTTCTCCCCTTACTCACCCTCCCCAACCTCCAATCTCGGCCATGCTGGTCGGAGACCCTGCGGGTATCACGTGCACTCGGCTCGGGCCAGTCGGAGGGCGTGTAATTGAGTGTGCTTCACCCTCTTTTTCCTTCCTACCTACTCGGTATGCAGGTAGAAGACCCCAGCGGTTACCTCGTGTTCTCGGTCAGGGCCAGAGGAGGCGTGTTCGAGTTCAAGGCGATGCGCAAGGGCAACTACAAGGTGTGCTTCACCCCTCTCCCCGCCCACTCCGTTGGTCCCACAGGTAGAAGACCCCGACGGCTACCACGTGCACTCGGCGCAGGGCCAGACGGAGGGCGTGTTCTCGTTTGAGTCGATGAGGGAGGCGACTACAAGGTGTGCTTCACCAACAAGTCGCCCGTCAACGAGGAGATCGTGTTTGACCTGCATGTGGGCACCACTTCACTGAAAAGGAGCTGGCCAAGGAAGGTATGTTGTCCTGTGTGCTATGCTATGCCATGCCATGTGTGCGTGAGTGGGGTTGAGCGGATGAGGGAGGGCGAGTGCAGGAGGAGCTTCACCAGCAAGCCGCTGTGAACGAGGAACCGTGTTCGACCTGCACATGGGCACCACTACAACGACAAGGAGCAGCCAATGACATGCCATGCCATGCATTGAACCTGGACGAGCGGGTATTGGTGCTCTTTTTGAAACTCCCTCCTCCCTCCACACCTCCTCCCCCTCCTTCTCTCCCTCCTCCCTCCCTCCCTCCCCTCCCTCTCTCCCTCCCTCCCTCCCTCCCTCCCTCCCTCCCTCCCTTCCTTTCTCCCTTTCTCCGTGGTTTTTTCTTGTCAACTCGCCATCAGAGCACGTGGAGCAAACGAGGGACAAGGCAAAGAACCTGTACGAGCGGGTGATGCTGCTGTCGCTGCAATCCAGATTCCGACACAATCAGGCAGAGCGGCTAAACGAATGTAAGCAACGGAGGGGGGCTGCACAATATGTAAGGGCAGTCAGAACGGGAGAGGATGAATGCTGGGGCAATTAAAGAAGGCAGATTGGAAGTCACTATTGAGTTGAGAATGCAGACGCATCATAAATGTTAGGCTGAGAGGCTGAATCAATGTAAACAAGTTAGGGGGGCTGGACGGATGTAAGGGTGGTGAGAAAGGGAGAGGATGAACGCTAGAGCATATGAAAAAAGGCAAGTTGGAAGTCTCATCACCATCTTCAGTCTCCACTCCCGCCTCCTTCATTTTTCGCCTCTCCTCTCCCCTGAAAGCCTGCTCTTCTTCCCCAACTCGTGGATCCATATGGTGCTCTCCCCGTGGCTAAGACCGGACCAGTGCTAAGACCACCTCAATGCTCACACTGCTCCTCCTCTTCGTCACCCCTCACTCCCTCATCCCACACACTGCTCCCTCACTCCCTCGCCCCTTTCCCCTCGCTCTCCCTCACCCCCTTCCCCCCTCGCTGACCCAACCCCACTTCTCGCATCCCCAGTGGCTAAGACCACCACGTGGAGGCTTGTCTTCAAGACCGCCGTCCAATCGGGAGCACTCATTCTTTGCAGCTCAATCCAAGTGAGATGCTACAGTGCTATTCAGGTGATGCTACAGCTATTCAGGTACTTGTACGTGCTCTTCAGGTGATTCTACCATGCTACTCAGGTGATAGTACTGTGCTATCCAGTTGATTCTGCAGCGCTATTCAGGTGATGCAACAGTGCAGTGCAGTCCAGGTGAGGGATTCTGCTGATTCTTCACAGCAATGTATATGTCAAACTAATTTGGAAGGGCCTAAGGGATAAAACAATGGTTGCATTGCTGCACTGCCCTCACAATGGTCATCTTCCTCTTTCTCTCCCTGCCCTCAGCATTTTGTGTGCAGCCCAGGCGCTGTATCCTAACCATACTCAATCCCCTCCCTTCTGGGCTTGTGTATCTCGCTCCCTACAAACAAATCCCCTCTCTCGCTCCCTACGAACAAACCCCCCTCTCGCTCCATACAAACAAGTTCCCTCTTGTACCCTAAACCCTTGCAATCCCCCCCTCTCCCCCCCCCAATTCTCCTCCTGGCTTCACCGCCAGGTGGATCTGCTGTACCACCTCTTTAAGTGGAAGCCA